AGTAAGCGAGTTAAAACTAGCTGAAAAGGTTGTTATAAAGAAACAGCAAGAACACCAGTTCCGTTTAGAAATACAGTGCCTAAAAAACAACAAAGAATTAAAGACAAATAACAGAATTTTGTCTTTAAATCCGTTTCTAGACACGGATGGAATACTTCGAGTGGGTGGAAGATTGCAAAACTCCGCCGCCGAATTTGATGTTAAACATCCAATAATTTTAGACAAATGTCACGTATCAGGGTTAATAATTAAAAATGCCCATTAAAAATCTTTACATGGAGGCATAAACTTAATGCGTAATTACATATATCCAAAGAAAGTATTGGATTTTCGGGCTCAGAAATTCGATAAAGAAATATTTAAGAGAATGCGTAAAGTGCGCAAGATACAGACAAAAGACTGCTCAACAAATAATGGGAAATTTGCCTCAATACAGAGTTACAATGACATACCCGTTCTTGAATACTGGAATAGATTATGCAGGCCCTTATTACGTCAAATGTTCCAAAACTCGTGGGCAAAAGACATATAAAGGATATATTGCTGTATTTGTTTGTATGGCTACCAAAGCCATACATTAATAGCCTTTTCACACTGGGGACCATCCACCATCCACCATCCATTTCTGGGATGGTCCGTAAGGTTTTGCCGTTCCGAAAATTTCCCAGTTATTCCACCATCCATCTGGGATGTTCCTAATTCTCACGTTTCAGTGCGGTATTTTTTCGATAATTGTCAAATGCAACCATATTTCACAACAAAAAATCGGAGATCACTACGAAAATGTAAACAATGACAGACAGGAAAATATAAAAATAAAACCAAATAACCCCATCAGATCTCACAAAGCACGCAAAAAATAAAAAATATCAAATATCAGCTGCAGGTGGTTTTATTTCGATGTGACATCCATCTAACATAAAAATTAAGTAATGAAATTAATTTACATATATGTATATACATATATTATGGATGATTTTATTGCATTATTACCAATTGCACCAGGCACTGAGGAAACCCAATTTCTTCAAATGCTTGGACACACTCGTCAATTTTCTCTGAAGTGAGATAGTTTTTGGACATGTATTCCTCTGAGAATTCGTTGATGAAATCTCTGCAAAACTCATGCAGGATATTGCAGACGCTGTTGGCTGACACTCCGAAAAACACTCTTTTCAGAAGAAGATCCCGAAGTATAAAAAGATATGGCGATACGCTTCTCCAGAGGAATTGCAGCTCGGCAGTTTGTGTCCTTCTTCCGTAGCACTTCCAAGCGAGTAACCAACAGAGAAAAGCAGGATCTCTCCATCCTAAAACTTTCCTTAAAAAACGCCTCGTTGTTTTCGGGTACATCCTTCTCCCAAAATGTACCGAACCGCTTCTGAAAAACATAACATATATATTTGTACTTTAAACATTGGTTGCATTTATTAGAAGCACTCACAAATGACCACAACCTTCCGGGCTTCAGTGTTTTCAAAACAGATATCCATTCTATTATCTCCTCCTCGTCAAAGTTATCTTCATCATCATCGTCCATGTCCAACAACATGATTAGCTTGTGCAAGAATATGTTTTGCTGCTGAATCACATTCACGACCATTGAAATGTTATTTATATTCATTTTAATTAAAGTAAACAAATTTTCACCTCACGCAATTGTGAGCAACAGCTGTTTCTCATGGATGGTGGATGGTGGATGGTGTCAATGTGAATCGGTGTTTCACATCTTTCAAAAATTCCCACCGTTCCCCCAGGATGGACTCAGTGTGCAGAGAGTATTAGAAATGGTCAGTGATTTAACTGGGTTACTATCGGATGGACGGAATCACTGGAAGCAGGCACGGACACCTCACAGAAACGGAACAACAATAACTTCTTTGTCAAAACAAAAAAATATTTTTTTGTTTGTGAACAAAAAAGACTTGGAGGTTTTTCTTGGACGTGGTCGGAGTATTTAATTATTTAACTAATTTTTTTTCCTATTCGGATGAACACCGGGTTCGGATGCCGATAGTTTTTGGGCCACCTCTCACTCTCGGAACAAAAAAAATATCAAAACACGCAACACAATTTGCCAATTTGTAAGGTAAATTGCCAAATAATGACGGAAAATGCGCCGTGCCTTGGTCGCGAGTAATTAATTTGGACTCTGGAGAATGTGGGAGAAATGGGAGACCTTGCGAAAAGTGGCTGGAGGGCACGAATTTCACTTAATCGCGGATTTTCAAATATGGCACTTGCGCGGAGTGGTGGAATGCGGTATTTAATTATTTGGTATTTTTGTTGAATGTGTGTATGTATGTATATAGTTGGGAGCCAACTATGCAAGTAAATGTAATAAATAAATAAATAAAATAAATAATAAATTTAATTAAGAAAACACAGGTAGCTGGATGGATGCTTTTATTGCTGCTGTAATGTGTATATGTTGGTATGTGTGTGTGTTCACTTGCACTTGGAGTGTGCCAGTGTATATTGTATTAGGGTAGGGCGCGGATGGAATGCTCTTGGAGACCTATATATCAATGTAGGTGTGTGTGAATGCACTTGCACTTGGAGCGTGCCAATATATATATTATTGAGGTAGGGCGCGGATGGAACACACTAGCAAAATATTAATGTATGTGTGTGTGTATGTACGCAAGCCGCTCTCATGGGCTGGAATGTGCGTACATACATAGGCGCGGAATACACTTTTATTTAATATATGGTATTAAATAATTAATTATTTTGGTAAATAATTTGTCCGCGAGTTATGGACGGACACAAGAAACTGACGAAAAACTACCGTATTACTGGTAACTCGAAGTGAAGTACCGGAGAACGGCCGGAATTGCCGATAATATGGCGGTGGCGAAGTTGGAAGCACTACGGATAACGGAGATGGCGAGAGTACATATAAGCTCGGCGTCGATGCAGCTGACCGGCGTGCAGGGGTCGATCAGCGCACTCATCATCTTGGTGCCTGCGAGGACCACCATTGCCGTCGGGAGGACGTTGATGCTCCGGTGCTGGAGCAAGGAGTTTGCGGTCGGGATTGGAATTCCGACGACAGGGCGGCTGACCGGAAGACGAGGGCGTGGTTTGGCGCGGGAAGACTTAGGTGAAGTCGACGGAGCCGAGGAAGAACCAGCAGGGCGCCGAGACGGAGGTGACGTCGACGGAGCCGAAGAGGAGCCAGCAGGGCGCCGAGACCCGGGTGAAGTCGACGGAGCCGAAGAGGGGCCAGCAGGGCGCCGAGACCCCCCGGGCAGGTGGAGCAGAGTGTGGTGGTTCCGGGAGCACACCTTACAGAGGTCTCCACTGCGGCAGTCCTTGCCCGAGTGCTCGTGAGCCAGGCAGTTCGAGCAGTATTTGTGCAGGAGGACGGCTCGGAGCCTCTGCTCGACGCTCAACCGGATAAACTTCCGGCAGTTCCTTAGTGGGTGAACTCCGGGGCACACTCGACACTGGAAGGAAGTCTTCCCTCGTGCCCTCGTGCGATCCGACCTGCGGCTGGATCGGGAACGTGATCCGGCTCGAAGGACCACAATGTTTGAGCGAAGAGGCATCTCAGGGTGTCCACCAGAGAGTCCCAAGATAAAAGGCGTTAGAGTCCGGGTTCTTCAAATATATATTTCGGGGGTTTGTTCTTATAAGTATATGTATATGTCGCGAGCAAAAGCCGGCCGTTTTGCGTTGGGTGGAAAAGCGAATTGAAGCTCGATCGGCTGTATTCCAGCTGCCGAGGCCTGTCGGCGACGAGAGCGGGAGCGTGAGCGTGGGCGGGAGCGCCAGCGTGGTGAATAAGCGCGCGAGAGCGCGTCGCCGGGGGGAAAAATGCTCTTAAGTACGAGGGCGAGAGCGAGGGCGACCGCTTGGGTAGCTGGAACGCTAACAGCGATGTGTGGCTGGAATGCCCACAAGCGGTTGCCCCGCCAGCGCCATCCTCACTCTGAACATTCTCCCCCCCTTGCAGGAATGCAAAGATTTTTTACGTCTGCATGCACGCACCAGACAGGATCCATCCAAACACCGTGCTTTGAGCCACGGGAAGGCCGTCTGCGCGGGCGAGGAACCCCGGTTGAATGACCCTTGGATACAAATCTGCACCCAAGACGAGCGAGATGGTGGTCGGCTTGTGGAACTCCTCGTTGGCCAACTTCAAGTCGCCGAAGCGAGCACGGACGGTGTCGCTCAGTGGACGGATAGGCGTACGGATGCGCAGACGGGGCTCGATCTTGAAGACTGCCTCCACCTTAAAATCTCCTATCTTCGCCCGGATCATGGCGGTGCACACCCACTCGTCCCCGATGCAGGTAGTGGGCAATTTCAGTTCCCTAGCCACCTCGGCGTCGATGCAGCTGACCGGCGTGCAGGGGTCGATCAGCGCACTCATCATCTTGGTGCCTGCGAGGACCACCATTGCCGTCGGGAGGACGTTGATGCTCCGGTGCTGGAGCAAGGAGTTTGCGGTCGGGATTGGAATTCCGACGACAGGGCGGCTGACCGGAAGACGAGGGCGTGGTTTGGCGCGGGAAGACTTAGGTGAAGTCGACCGAGCCGAGGAAGAACCAGCAGGGCGCCGAGACCCCCCGGGCAGGTGGAGCAGAGTGTGGTGGTTCCGGGAGCACACCTTACAGAGGTCTCCACTGCGGCAGTCCTTGCCCGAGTGCTCGTGAGCCAGGCAGTTCGAGCAGTATTTGTGCAGGAGGACGGCTCGGAGCCTCTGCTCGACGCTCAACCGGATAAACTTCCGGCAGTTCCTTAGTGGGTGAACTCCGGGGCACACTCGACACTGGAAGGAAGTCTTCCCTCGTGCCCTCGTGCGATCCGACCTGCGGCTGGATCGGGAACGTGATGCGGTCTGAGGGGCCATATCTACTTTCTGGAAAAAACTATGATGAAAGAAAGGAATCACCGGAGCATTAGTAAAAAACTGGCATGGGTTGGCATACGGATACGGATACGGGTACGGATAACTACGTTGGATTTACGCAGAACAAAAGGACGGAGGCTTATGAATCGGAGCCTCCGCGCGAGTAGGTGGACAGGACATCCGATTCCATAGGCAGCAGAACCACCTTCGTGATCGGTCTCTTGATAAGGCCGCGGGCCGTGAGTAGGTCTACCACACGGACCTTATCATCGGCTCCAGGATACGCGTTCTGCACACGGCCGAGACGCCATTCCTGAGCGGGGATGTTCTCCTCCTTGATCACCACGAGGTCTCCAACCTCGAGGTCTCTTGTCGGATGCTGCCATTTGTTGCGCTTGTGCAACTCTCGCAGGTACTCTGTCTTCCAGCGCGAACAGAATTGCTGGTTGAGAGCCTTGAGATGTTGCCAGCGGTTTAGGATGGAGGAGGCGCTCGCTTGTATTTCTGGCTCGGCCACGGATAGTAGCGGACCACCAATCAGGAAATGGCCTGGGCTCAAGGCCAACGGATCAGTTGGATCCTCAGACATAGGAGAGATTGGTCGCGAGTTAAGGCATGCCTCAATCTTGGAGAGAAAGGTCGCGAACTCCTCTAATGTGTATTTGGAAGTACACACATACCGTTGGAAAAGAGCCTTGAAGCTCTTCACACCCGCTTCCCATAAGCCCCCCATATGTGGGGCCCCTGGAGGGATGAATCGCCACGTGAGCCCCTGCTGGCTGTACACCGCGGAGGTCCGAGTGCGGAGGGCCTCGAGAAGGTCCACAGCCAGAGAGCGGGATGCGCCGACAAAATTCCTCCCGTTGTCGGAGTGGACTTCGTGGGGACAGCCTCGTCTCGCGACGAACCGGGCGAAGGCGGCTAGGAAAGTGTCGGTGGACAAGTCGGACGTAGCCTCCAAATGGATGGCCTTCGTGGTAAAACAAACGAAAACGCACACATACCCCTTGGAGATGCGACAGGCGCGTCCTGTGAAACTTTTCACGTCGAACGGCCCGGCGAAGTCGACTCCGGTGTATGTGAACGGCCGCGAAAATGTAACTCGTGAGGAAGGAAGGTCGCCCATTAATTGGGTTTGGAGTCGCTTGCGATGGATGACGCAGACCTTACAGGAGTGGATTACTGCCCTCACGACGTGACGTAGTCGAGGGATCCAGTATGTTGCCCGGAGAAGGCGGATGACCAGCTGGTTCCCACCATGTAGGGATACGTGATGGGTGAATCGAACCAGCAGGCGAACCAGGAGGCATGCGGGTGGCAACAGGATTGGATGCCGCTCGTTGTAGGTCATGGATGCCGAGGCTCGGACCCGGCCACATGCCCGCATGACCCCGTTCTGGTCCAGGAACGGATTGAGGTTCTGAAGAGAGCTCGTAGTCGGAAGTGGCTGCTTGTTTACAAGACAGCGATGCTCCGCCGTATAATGGAAGCGTTGGGTCGTGATGGTGACAGCTTGGAGAGCTGCAGCGACCTCTTTATTGTCTAGCTCTGTGGATACGTGGACTGGCGTTGCTTGCCCTCTGACGCGCAGGCCGAACCGCCGAACGTAGGCGATCACGCGCAGAGCGCGTCCGAATTCGGAAAATCGGCTGAGAATGTCCGAGGCGGTGTCAGTGGCGTGGTGAACCTTGACGGCTCGTTTCTCCAAGTCGGTCTCAAGGATTGAGCCTCGTGGACAAGGCCACTCCGACTGCGGACCACGCAGCCACGCAGGGCCATGCCACCACATGTCATTGCCGACCAGTTCAGTGGGTCCGAGCCCTCGACTGGCGAGGTCGGCCGGGTTGTCCTCGGATCGGACGTGGCTCCATCGTTCGCGGGGCCAACAGCGAGTGATTTTGGCGACTCGATTCCCTACAAACGTGGTCCAATCACATGCCGGCCTGTTCAACCAGGCCAACACAATAGTGGAATCGGTCCAAAAGTACACCTGGCTGGCGTCGAGCGGCATTTGAGGAAGGATGGCCACGGAGAGTTCTGTCAGAAGGACAGCTCCGCACAGCTCGAGTCTAGGCAACGAGACTGTTTTCACGGGGGCAACGCGGGTTTAGGCTGTGAGAAGGGTACACACAATGCCCTGCGGACGCTCAACTCGGACGTAGATCGCTGCCCCATAGGCACGTTGAGACGCGTCGCAGAACCCATGAATCTGTACCTTGGCCATCGGACAGACGTGTAACCACCGCGGAATGCGGATCCCTTGGATGGCCGGAAAGCTGTTCAGGAATGTCTCCCAGGCTTGAGACAGATCGTTAGGAAGGACGTCATCCCATCCTAACTCTCTCAACCAAATCTCCTGCATAAATATTTTCGCTTGGACGACGAAAGGGGGCAAGCCATCCCGCTGGATCAAAGAGCTGCGCGATCTGGGACAGCACATTGCGCTTCGTGCAGGATTGTCGCTCGTTTAAAGCGGGAGGCGAAAAGAAGAACTCGTCGGCACTGGCTTGCCATCGGATTCCCAACGTCTTAGCGATGCTACTCTCTTCCAGCTCTAGGAAGTCAGCGCGGAGTAAGTGGTCGACTGGAATGTCGCGCAGGACGCCCTTATGGTTAGCTGTCCACTTTCGGAGCGGAAACCCTGCAGAGTCGAGTGCTTCGCGTAGTTCAGCAATGGCGGAAATTGCCTGAGACTGAGAGTGAGCACCAGCGAGCACGTCGTCCACGTACATGTCGCTCTCCAGGATGACGCTTGCCATCGGCAGCTGTGGACGCACCTCTTGTGCGAGTTGCTTGAGGACGCGGAGGGCGAGGTACGGTGCGCAGTTGACTCCGAAAGTGACAGTGGTGAGCTCGTAGTCACACACGTCCCCGTTACGGTCGCGAAACAGTATTCGCTGATAGGGCGTGTGTTGGGAAGCCACTTGGATTTGCCGATACATCTTGTTGATGTCGGCATTGAAAACGTAGCGAAAGACGCGCCACCTCAGGATTTGCATGGTCAAGTCAGACTGAAGGACTGGCCCAGCATGCAACGTGTCGTTGAGGCTTTTCCCGTTGGAAGACGGGCTGGAGGCGTTGAAGACTACGCGCAATTTGGTTGTGGTGCTGTCGGGTTTAAACACGCCATGATCCGGCTCGAAGGACCAATGTTTGAGCGAAGAGGCGTCTCAGGGTGTCCACCAGAGAGTCCCAAGATAAAAGGCGTTAGAGTCCGGATTCTTCAAATATATATTTCGGGGGTTTGTTCTTTATAAGTATATGTATATGTCGCGAGCAAAAGCCGGCCGTTTTGCGTTGGGTGGAAAAGCGAATTGAAGCTCGATCGGTTGTACTCCAGCTGCCGAGGCCTGTCGGCGACGAGAGCGGGAGCGTGAGCGTGGGCGGGAGCGCCAGCGTGGTGAATAAGCGCGCGAGAGCGCGTCGCCGGGGGGAAAAATGCTCTTAAGTACGAGGGCGAGAGCGAGGGCGACCGCTTGGGTAGCTGGAACGCTAACAGCGATGTGTGGCTGGAATGCCCACAAGCGGTTGCCCCGCCAGCGCCATCCTCACTCTGAACATAAAGGATATATTGCTGTATTTGTTTGTATGGCTACCAAAGCCATACATTTAGAAATGGTCAGTGATTTAACTTCTGATGCATTTTTAGCAGCACTTAGAAGATTTATCGCTAGACGAGGTAAATGTGAAAACATCTATTCCGACAACGGAACAAATTTCGTAGGAGCTTCAAGAAAGTTAGATCAAGATGTGGTTACAGCAATCCATGAAAATACTATGATTGCTGCGCAACTTGAAAAAGATAGAATTGATTGGCATTTTATCCCCACGGCAGGACCTCACTTCGGAGGTATCTGGGAGGCTGGAGTAAAATCCATGAAGTATCATCTTAAAAGGGTTATCGGGGACAACAGCCTAACATACGAAGAGATGTCAACGCTCTTGTGTCAAATAGAGGCATGTTTGAACTCAAGACCTTTATATTCTGCAGAAAATGGAGTTGATCAACAAGAGGTTCTTACCCCAGGTAATTTTTTGATTGTAAGACCACCATTAGATATAGTAGAGCCAATGACAGATGAAAAAATTGGAAATCTAGATAGGTGGAAACTAATCCAAAAGATAAAAAGAGATTTCTGGGTGAAGTGGAAAGAGGAGTATTTGCATACTCTTCAGCAGAGGCACAAATTGAAGAGGGAAAGTCCTAATATAGAAGAAGGACAAATTGTCCTCTTAAAAGATGAGAATTGTCATCCAGCCAGATGGCCAATAGGAAAGGTGGAAAAAATCCATAAAGGCAAAGATGAAAAGGTCAGAGTGGTAGAGGTAAAATTGCAAGATGGATTTATCACTAGACCCATCAGTAAAATTTGTCCCTTAGACGGAATTAAGTCTGTCGCCAAGGTTGAGGCTGACACTGAAGAGCTCCAGCAAAAAAGGCAGACTAGAAATGCATCGAGAATGTCAAAACTCGGGTTTATAATGGCCATGTTGTTATTTATATTAAGTTGTCAATTTTCTAACGCATCACCCAAGGTTGATAAACCAAAATATGCAATAGAAAAAATAAATAAGACTTCGGCAATATATTTAGATCCAATGGGGGATGTTGAAATAGTAGCCTCCTCTTGGAATCTAATAGTTTTCTATAATATGGACACCTATTTTGAGATGCTAAAAAAGGGTAAAGATTTGGTTCCGAAAATGAAATTGATTTGCGAAAGGCTTCATACTTTCGAAGACCAATGCCTTTTAGTTTTGGAAAATACAGAAAAGAAAATGTTAGACTTGGAAGAAAATAACAAACTGTTCATGGCTCAAAGTAGGGTACGAAATAAGCGAGCTCCATTTGGATTTATGGGATCCCTATATCATATTTTATTTGGGATAATGGATGAAGACGATAGGGTTCAAATGGAAGATAATATGAAAAACTTATTAAGCAATAAGCACAATCTGAATGAGCTAAGTAAGAAACAAACTTCTTTAATCGATTCTACAACAAACATTTTAAAAACAACCACTGATGAGGTAAATAGGAATTTTAAGGGAATGAATACGCGAATTGGGAAAATGACTGCTACACTACAAGAATCATATTATGTGTACAGAGAATCTATCAAATTCTTCATGATAACCAAACAATTAAGTAACATAATAGATGAATGCGAGAAAATACAATCTGGAATCATAAGCTTATTAATAGATATTAATCATGGTCGACTTAATACTAACATTTTAAAAACAATTAAAGGGTGAGATTTCAAAAATAAAAGATAATTTATCAGAAAATTACGTTTTGCCAAGGAAAAGAACTGGCACAGAGCTAAAAGAAGTTTATTCTCTGCTAACAGCTAGGGGCTTATTTGTTGACAAAAGACTTATAATATACGCGAAGATACCTTTGTTTGGTCGACATGCGTTAGCGTTATTTAAAGTTGTTCCAATACCAATCAGAATCGAAGAACGCATGATTATGGTGCACGTCGATGTTCAGTATTTAGTTTATAACTTCGAGATAGATGCATATCACCTTATGAAAGAATCTACCATCAATAAGTGCCAAAGGTGGCAATCTAATAAAAGAGTTTGTGAAGGAAGTTGGCCTTGGAGTAGTGCCAGCGATGGCAGTTGTGAATTGAAGCCTCTCAAACCAAATAGAGCATCAAATTGCATATATAAGTCAATAGTGGAGAGCAAGTCGTATTGGATAGAGTTGGAAAGAAAAAGTAGTTGGTTTTTTAAGGTTGAGAATAATGCAAGGGCTAGGATACAATGCGGCACCACAAGCTTAGAGATAGTAGAATTGCCGGAACAGGGGATTTTAACAATTAGGTCGGATTGTACTGCTCGAGTTAATGATAAGATTCTGATTCCTCATCATAGTATGGAAACAGAAGATCAGGGAACATTGTCTTTGTCATATATAGGAGACATCAGCGAAATACCCAAGATTGTTTGGAACCAATTAGACTCACCAATTATTAATCATACAGACGAAATAAACCGCATACAAAATGAATTAAATTATTTGAAAACGCACAAGCTAGAATTAAAAGAACAAAAATTTGACCATCTTTCCGGGCACACATCTTTAATTTTAGTAATAATAATAACTGTAATTTTATTTGTATATTTTGTAAGAAAAATAAATGTAAGGCGGCAATTGCAAGGCATTGTCATACCGGAAAGCATGGTTAGTTAAAACAAACAATAAAAAAAGCATATTTTAAGGTATTACACCTATGTATGTATGTGTGAATACAAAAATAGACATTAAGAAAATTAAAATTGTAAAGTAATACATCTCGGCACCTTTCTTGGCCTTTTGCAGAATGTTTAGAATGCTCTAAAACATGAAGTGTAATAATAACCAATTTAACGACCGCACTTGTACACCAATGTAAATTGATATTTAGACACAAACTCATAAATTGTCTAGTTCTTAAGTGCACAGCCGAGAAATCTCTTACAGATGTCTGCGATGCGTTGGTCGCCGATGTCACCCCAATTGTACACACATGGGTTATCTTATTTTGTTACCAGAGCTCCAGTGTGCTCACACACAAACACATACCACTGCGTTGGCACTAGACCTAAGCCTAGTTTTGCTTCACAGTAGAGCTACCTAATCTCATACAATTTTAATAAAGATCCAGTTTTAATATTGAACTCAACAAATGTAGATGTCTTTTCATCTTGCTTTGGTTAAGGCATTTACAGAGAATCAAGTTGATGTAGCTGCAGAGCTATCGAAAACGACACGGATTTTTGTAGTGGTACTGTTCTCCTTTAAAACGCAGTGATGAAAATACTTGCAGAGGCTACGGGAGTCAGGATGGACTTCGTACATATGCTTCAAATCAGTATACTCTTTCATAAAAGCTGAGTAACGCTCCTTAAGCGTGGGATTACGATCCAGTTTTCGCTACAAACTGAGAAATCATCGAAACGCCTGAGTATAAGACTCTCCCAAGCGATATGGCAAACGTGAAAGGTGGCTTACGAAATGCGCCTCACAATCTACTTCTTCATTTACACTTAACGAGCCTCCACACAATTCTCGACTTCCCAAAACCTACGAAGAGTTCGATCCAAAATTGCATTGATGCTAGCCTCCGAATCCGGAGAATTTTGAGTTGTCAAAAGCGAGAAGCTATCTCTGTCCACCACCAGATACCATCCACCCAAGTTGGGTCTTCTGCAGAAGAGGCACCCCATCTATGAGCTTGCTTTGCCGTACGCAGAGAAGGTCATAGAATATGCTCGCGCCAATGAGGAGATCTACTCGCTGAGGATTAAAGAGTGCAGAAAGCTGAATATTGGAGGGAATGTTTCAATCGGCTACATTAACTGCCAGACTTGGTTGGCTATCTGTGATAGCCTCATCTTGCGATGAGAGCAGTGAGTGTGGTCGAATAGTCCAAAGTGCGAGACTACATGCAAATGCTCACGGTGGATCCCTCAGTGGACAAGCTGGGATCACCAAGACCAGAAACAAGGGCAGACGATTGAGTTTTTGTAAGCTGAAGTTGCTGGGCGAACCTGGATGTGACGAGATGAAGCTGGGATCCTTAATCTAGAATGACGAGACATAGAACCAAATCGCCAGATCGATTACACTAGTCAACACTAGAATTAGGCTGTGACCCAAAATATAGATTCTTAAGTTCAGAGTGAGGACGGCGCTGGCGGTCAACCGCTCTGTGAGCATTCTAGCCACACATCGCTGTTAGCGTTCCAATTACACAAGCGGTCGCCCTCGCTCTCGCCCTCATACTTAAGAGCATTTTTCCCCCTGGCGACGCGCTCTCGAGCGCATTCTCACCACGCTTGCGCTCCTGCCTACTCTCACGCTCCCGAGATGATTTTAATGCGCTTCTTCACCCCAAGCAAAACGGCCGGTCTATTTGCACGCGATCTTTGAACCTTATATATAAGTGAATTAAAACCTACGAATCTATACTGAAGAACTTGGACCTTTTTTGCGATTTTGGGA